AGTGGCTTCGCTCTGCCATCCTTGATTCACAACAACCAACCTCTCCTATAGGTTTCCTATTTTTGAAACTTCCGCCACCGCCTTGTGCAGTACTACTGGTAATCATAATAATAATAATAACCATCATCATCAGCAGCAGCAGCAACTACATCAACAGCACCATCCACATCTTCAAACACACCCTCACCTTTCATGATCCATGAAAGTGATATGACAAGTTAATAAAGATGTAGAATGACATAGAATGAACATGTTCCGGATTGTGAGCAGTCCATGCTGCACTGGCCAGGATTGTAGAGAGACTGGACGATGCTGTTCTGCAAAGATGTGTGGGGTCTCAGGGGTTCGGAAGAAACCTGAAACATCATGAAACATCATGAAACTGGGAAGATACTCTAGGATTTGTAGATGTTTTTTGCTACGTGGACTAGTGGAGGGTGGTCCGGATTGAACAGCCAGTATAAGCAAAATATGGCAAACAAAATCATTCCAAACTCACGCCCCTGTTTTTCATTGGAACATGGTCCACCCATGTCCACCCTAAATGGTTTCGCTCCAGGTTTTGGGTTCCGCCACTTTGGTCTCAACTTGCCCAGGAGTTGCTATGAAAAGGACAGCCAGTGGAGCGCATGTATGCAGAGAGCCCAGTCATGGGAAGCCAGTGATCGGCTTTGGCCATGGGTGGTAAGGGAAATTGACAGACGATTTGACTGGTTGCTGGGGTGGTCCAACATTGGGAAATGCATCTGCAGCACATTGATGCTTCCCCATTGATGTTTTCCCGAGGCCATACTGTATCGCTGGGCAAGCACACAACTCAGACGCAGATTCAAGACTGGAGCAACTTGCCCGCATGAAGTTTTATTTTCGGGACCCGATAGTTGCTCTGGGATTATTGCCTCTTCAAAATCCCGAAAGTTTGATAAAATGGGGCGATAGCTGTCCCATGTCAGAGATAGAGGATGATGGAGGCATGGTTTCAATTTTCTCGCAAACCCTGTTTCACAAACTGAAGAACTTGACGACAACGCAATAGAACCGAATAGGACAGAGATCCGTAAGAGCATTTCTAGTCCTTCACCGATCCTCCACAGGCATCCAGGCCCTTGGTCTTGCCGAGAAGTTCTCCCGCGACTGGGTGGCAGTTCAGAGCTCCTCAAGCGGCAGTCCATCTGCCACGATGGGAAGCGCAGCATTCTGCAGTTTTGCCGTTCAATCACCTTTCAGCACTGGAAGCACTAGCGTCAAAGGTTGTTGACAATATTTTTCAGGTTGGTTCCAGCAGACTGACTGAATGATGCTCAGAATTTTGAAAACGGGAACCCCCTGTAATATAAGGCAAAGGTTGTGCTCAGGTCAATCAAACAAGCTCGCCCCCAATGCCCTGAACTCCCATTTTCTTGAAGCTATGGTGGCAAGGACTGACCAGTTTTTGGTGGCACAAGCAGCAAAGACTCTGCTTCTTTCGCCCGAGCAACTCAGATCTTTGTACAGCGTTCCTTGGAAGAATTGGAGCGGTGGGACCCTCTCAGATTAAAGCGTTGCTTGGTAAGTCTTCTATAGTCTTGGAGCATCATATTTCACGCGTGAAGTGTTTATTGTTTTTTTTGTTTTGTTTTGGGATTCAAATTCACGCATAATGATAATATTTGATATATCATAATAGTTTCATTTTGTTCCCAAGGAGAAGTTCAAAAGGTTCGACCAGGACAACAGCTCCACGATGGATTTGAACGAGTTCCGGCATTTGCTGCTCGCTTGACATAGGTTTTGTGCATTGGGTTTAGTCATGTTTTGCTCTTTTTGCCGAGGGCATGGCCTCATTCCGGGGTCTTAGGATATTTTAAGGGCTCTCGTCAAGGAAACGTGAAGTTTTCCTGAACCACTGTGCTTATCTACTCAAATGTCTCATTAGACTCCCCGTGGATAGCCACAAAAGAGACTGTTCTGCTTTTGCACTAAATCATTACACTCAAATACAGTCAGCACACTGACATACACTGCAAGCACTATCAAGCACTACGTATAGTCCTATGGTTCAAAACTTGTATGGAAATGCAGTCGGCTGGCAGTGCAAAACTGTATGGCAGTTTCTTGGCGCAAGTGACCCCAACCCTCTCGGGTTGGTCAGACCCCACCGACAGGAATAAGATCAACACAAAGGAAAACATTGTCAAACTATGTCAAACTTGAATTTCTTATTATGTCTTGATGTGTCAGAAGATTTCTTGATATTTCTTGGATCATTTGGATCAATTTGGATCAATTTGGATCAGGTTCATCAATCAAAGCCTTTCATCCCAGGCTCCGGGAGAAATTTCAGCAGCGCAGTGTCGAGGCGTTGTGCGCCGCAATAAGCTTGGGAGCTGCAGCATGAGTCCACTGAAACAAGAGGTTACCTTTTTATACCTTTTTTACTAAGGATCTACCGATATCAACTCGGCTTGAAATCGTTGAAATGACTTGAACAGAGTGGCCAGATATAACATGATATGATTGACAGTATATTGCATGATTCCAATACATTCCGATCATGGAACTTCATGAATGTCCAGTGTTTCAAAAAGCAGGTTTGCTGTTCCCTTTGGAGCTAGACCTTTTTTTCAGAGTTGTCATCACTGCCAGGTTTCGGAGGACTTGGTGCAGAAGATCTGGAAGGATTTGGACCCAAGCCACAGTGGGGCTGTGTCCCTCAGTTGCAGGGGACGGCTTTTAGGGTGTCGGATGCGGGAAATTGCTGCGCTGATCACTCAAGAGTCTCCAACGCCGCCTCCTTCATGCAGAATGTTTTTCATCTACAGTAGATTTGCCTAGAACTGGTTGTGAATGGACCGTGTTTGTTGATGTTCCAGAGATGAGACTTCTAAAACAGATATCATTTGACTCTGTAGCTGCTACAGATAAATTCCACATGATTCCACATGATTCTACATGAGAGTGTGAAGATATGTGAAGCATGCCACCCTGTCCTGAGAAAGATGTGTCCGTTTCTGACAGGAATTTCACAGAATTTTGCCGGTGGTACTTCAGCACGACCCTTGGCAAAAGCCGCCCCGGCAGCCGAAATGTATTATGCGGAAGGGCCCGGAAGGGTGCTGGATTCCGTCTTGGGCTGGTTCAAAATATTTCAAGGGATTGCGGCCACATGTTGCCACCATAGCGAGTCTAGTGACAGTCTAGTGTGAAACCATGGGTTCAACAAGGCCAAATGGCGTGTACAAACAGCAGCAACGCCATGTAAATGCTTGTGCTGAAATAATCATATCACTGAATCTGAATCATCTTTATATACTGATACCCAGTTTGGTTGAACTTTCGTAAATAGACTATGGATTGCCACAGTAATCCTGTTAAAAAGCAGATTAGGGATCCGACCACAACCACCAGTTGTACAATATTTACGCAGAACGAGGAGAATTTCACCACCACTAAAGTAGGACATCCTTTTAGGATTCGACACCTTTGCTGCAGTGAATTGATATCAAATGGCTCATAGATGGTCAAAGGTCACCTGCTACCTGCAGCGCACAAAACCTTAGCGCCAAATCCTAAGCCGCGGAAGATGCGTGTGAAACGTGCACACATTTTGCTTTGGTGTGAAACGCTTAAATCATCTTAAATCTACATTCACATGTTCGGCACCATTTCACGACCCAGCAATGCCGGTTCCAGCGGTACATAAGCTGTTACCCTATGAAGCCTGTCACCAGGATTGGTTGGGGCAGTCTGCAGTCCACAGCCAATAGCCTGGGTCGTTCCACAGAGGAGATTGCGAGACTTTACTACGCAGCTTGCTGGGAATGTTCGGATGGTAAAACAGAGACCCTGAAGGCTCTACCCAGGGTTCAAGATGTTGTGAGAAGTAAAGTGGGTGGTGTTTCTGTAAGAGGGGAACAGAATCAGAATTTAAGCAGAACTTCCACGGTTCAGCTCAACACCATTTCAGTACGTTCTTTTTGGCTCCGCTTTCGAAGCTACCTAATTTTGGGATGCTCGGTCCATGATACTTAAAGCAGTACCTGAAATCAGAGGTGCCCTTCGATGGAAAAGAACTTCCATCATCTTGCGTCATCTTGCATCCCACAAAATGTTTGGTATAGATTCAGATATTGATGTATAGCAAAAGCATTTGGACTTCATTGCATCTGACATGTTTTGTCGTCGTCGTCATCATCATCGTCATCATCATCATCATCGTCGTCGTCGTCGTCATCGTCGTCGTCGTCGTAATCATTGTCATCGTCATCGTCATCATCGTCATCATCATCATCATCATCGTCGTCGTCGTCGTAATCATCGTCATCCTCATCCTCATCCTCATCATAATCATAATAATAATCATCATCATCATCACCATCATCATAATATGTTGCTCGTACTTCGTATGAGTTGTGTTGAAACAGGTTATATATCATCGACGCCTAGGACATTATATAGTGTGGAGGACAGTCATCGACGCCTAGGACATTAGTGTGGAGGACATTAGTGAGAAATTTTACTCTCAACTCATATCTGAGCCAAATGGTTTCTGTTTTCCATAGCCCATGCTTTGCGTTTTGGACTCGAGACATGGATGCAGAATGGTTCAATGCCCTTCAGCTGTGACAACAAACTGAGGGTAAATTCAAGGACTTTGACGCAGGCCAGAGCGGCACCATGGAGATGAACGAATTTCGAACATTGCGACTTGGAAGATTGGAGCTATGCACAACAGAAAATATGCGTTGTGATTTTGTGATCAACAATTCATATAATTTCGTAACAATTCATGTTAATTATAAAATAGTGCAACAGGTACATATGAGCCTTTGAGCCCAAAGAGTTGAAGACAACGTAACTGAATTGCGAAGGCAACAGAGAGGCTGAACCTGCATTGAAGCCAAGGCTGTTCATTTGTCAGATCAAAACGGTCACCGGATGAAATTACCCGGTTACCCCAGGACCTGTTTTGGAAGGAAATGATCGCATTTTTGACAAGCGGATCAAAACGTCATAGACATACAAAGTCTCTATCACACACACAAACCTATCAACAGATATGCTAGTATCCGCAGAATTTTAAGGAATGCACATATTCATACAGAATATTCTTCGTATTTCTTTGTTATAGAATCAGAATCTTGTGATGTCCCATGGCTATGGCTGGATTTGAGAGAGTCTCGACCCGCAGTGTGGGAATCTGAGGCTTCAGAGGGTTCTCGGCCGAGAGGCTCCTCCCTTTGGCCTTTGATGGCCTTTGTATGAGTTTGCCATGTCATGTTTCTAAAGATGGTTTCCAAAGATACTCAAAATCCAGGTACTATGTCTTTGATATTAAAAAAACATGTTGTTATTGTTTGTCCTGTCAAATTATTTTCCCTGCCCTTGTATGCATACAAGTAGTGAGGAAGCATTTGTAGAAGTCCATTAAGTGACTTTGGTTTGGCCTTGAGCTGGCACAAGTGTCCAGATCATCTATGATGTTTTTTGTATCTTTTTGTATGACGTTCTGTTGCAGTTTGTTGCAGGTTCAGGAGCACGTCTTCACAACGCTTTGGAATGACTTGGACAGAGATGGCACTGGCTCAGCGCCCCTTGGCACAAGGTAACTTGCCGAAGACTCAAGTGATACAATGGTTCAATGAGATCTAGCCAAGGTTGATTTCCTGCCCACTTGTCTCCAGTCGTAGGAACTAAGACAAGCATTGATTGATCATGAAACTGCTAATTAGACACGAATTTGCCATGATAACATGTCGTTTGTTCTCTGACGGGTATACATACATGTCAGGACTAAGGTTCTAAAGTTGTTTCCACATGTGTCCACAGGAAGCTAGACCTGTTTTGGCTGGCAGGTGCCAGTTGCAGCCAGACGTAGCAGTCTTCCCAAGACCCAGAAGCTCTATACATGACGCTGATCCACTGAGAGCCATAGCACAATGAATCTCACAAATCATCAGGCTCAGGCCACCCCAGCCCAGCAGCAACACAGCAAAAGTGTTCTGAGGACCTTCCATGATTTTAGCAAGTGGTACTTCCAGCTTCTTGCCTGAAGAATCCTGAAGTGAGCGGGAGCACCACATAGAAAGGATAGGGTTGCTGTTTTGTTGGGTGGCTATGGGCGGCATGAGCAATCTCATTGTTCATTCCATGACCGATGCCGCGAGACTTCAATGGACCTATCCAAGCAACCCTGATTTTGATATAATTATGTTGATAAAGATGTGTTTTGCTTGGAGTAACATTGCTTGATCCAGCTTTTCTGCAACTGAATGGATCGTTTTAACAGTGAATAGCCACTTCATGTCCGTTCAGAGTAAAGAAGAAATGACATTAAACATGTTAAAACATGTTAAAACATGTTAAAACATGTTAAAACATGTTAAAACATGTTAAAACATGTTAAAACTCATAAAATCCCGGTGGAGCCATCCCACAAACTGTGCTTCACAGCCGGATTGTCTGGAAGTCCTTGCGTCGCTGCGAGGTGGATGAGCGATAGGCCTTCGATGGATATGTTCGGGTCTTAGTTGCCTTTGCTTGCTGAGAAGTCACCGAAATATTCGGAAATTGTAAATATACTATATTGATCTATAGTCTATATTGTAAATATGAAGTAAATACGAACTCTCTCAACTCTTTGAAAGTCACGCATGACAGTGCAAGAAAGAGGCGTCAGAGGTCCGATGCACTATCCGTCATCCAAGAACCTTCAACAACCATGGGAAACACAAATGTGATGCCCCAAACCATTGAGGCAAATTTGGATTGTGACTGTGGAACCAAATGGCTAATAAGTGAAAATGGTTTGTGGAGCTATCCTTCATTCATCTTCATTCACCATTCTGCAACTGCCTAAAGAGGCCCCAGTTCAACCGCTACGAGTATGATCAATTCCAGTTTGGACGTCCAAGTTGGGCAACAGGAAGGGGTTGTCGTGCCGTGCACATGGGATTTTCACAGAGTTGGCATTCCGGAACAAAGAGGAGGATGTAGGATGCGAAGTGAAGTGAAAATCACACCTTTTAAAATAGCAGGGGCAGAGGCTGCGGTATGAACTCAATCTTAGACATTTTGAAGAAGGATTGATGAACGGGCATGTGTGAGTCATGCCAAATCTCAAAAATCTATCAGGGATGGCATATATTTACATACCCTAAGACAGGAAGAATCAAGTTGAAAGCATGACAAAGCATGACAAGGCTTGGACTGACCGATTCTAGGGGCAAAGGCATCAGCCTCACCACAGGGCACCAACGTCCTGCATTCTTTCGCGCACCGAGGAACAAAGGCTGCGCAGTCGGATCATTTGCGCTGAAAGATGGCATGTGTGGTGCCTAAACTTGGGAGAAACATTGGACTGTGACGGTCATGGACTGTCAGTTCGACAACAAGACTCAGGGAATGAGCCAAGATACATGTGACGCCCTCTACAGATTGATCCTCCCAGGCCGAGTGCTGATTCAGTGCTTTGGCATATCCAGTGCTGTGTTTCTTCGGAGTTCAGCTTTAGTCATCAATGAGCTCAGAAGTACAGGACCGATTGATACTAATTGCTTAAATGGCTTAAACTTACACTGACTTATCCCAGCGAAGTGTTTGAACTCTGATTATGATGGTGCAGAAGGATGTTGAACAAAGAAGAACTGATTTTCTGGACCGGACACACGGACCACTTCCAAATGCTTTGCTTGACTTCCGTTCTGGGACAATCCCCGGAATGTTCTATTTGACCCGGCTAATAGGCTGATAGGGGGCTAATAGTAGATGGGCAGAAGGATGATAGATGAGACACACCTTGCTTGAGCATTGTGAAGCTTGCGCCGCACGAAAGCTTTGATTTCTTTCCAAGGCTCCTCAAACAGACTACCATATACTATCATATACTGGGACAGTCTGAAGAAGCTCAAGTCAGCTGATACTTTTTCATAAGTCGCAGCACAGAAAGTCGATTTAGAAGATGACGTATGAGTGTCTTAACATGCAATTGCCATAAATTGCCTATGTACTTGTTTTTTTATGTTTTTTTCAGGGAGCCTTTCTGATACGATTGGATATGTGATGCATTGAAACGTCAATGCTTGGCAAATCATCAAATGATACAGAATCTACTTCCCGGATCTTCCTGGTATGTCAGGCAAATGAGTCGTAGGGATTTGATTCTATGGATTCAATTGAATTCATATGGATTCAATTGTTCTATGCTAGCAGCTGCTAGCAGGAACCCCATCTCAACAGAAATGAAGTCCCTTGGGACCTGGGGACCTTGGGCAGCTTCGCACAAGGCCATGGCTTGCAAACAGACCTGCAGCAATGACCCGAGGCTGGACCGGCGGTGCAAGGAGAAATGCAGCTGGTTGAGACAGAAGCAGGAACCTCGCTATATCATTGATGTGGTTGGGAAACATTGAGAAATATTGATATGCTGGTCTCAAGTCATCCCAATGCTCAGAAGAAAGGCAATGCAGCAGGATGTTGTTAAGCAATGCAATAGCTGCCTCAATATGTGTTGACCGTGCTGACTGTTGACCAATACCAAACCCGTCAAGATAGTTATGATGGGTGCTTTGCCTCAGCCTGCTTTGCAGATCTTTGCAGCACGTTCCACTTTCTCCAATCTTCCTGCAATCTGAACACGCCGAAGCCACCCAAAGCTAGGCTGCATCACGTGTCAATGAAAGCTTTTGCTGAATTCCAATGAATGTCAATTTTGCACATCGCAGAAAAACAATCTCTTGCTAGATACAAAAGACAAGAACTTTTGACATATCCGCCACCAGCTATTATTCCTCTAGTCTTGCATCCAAACGGGTTGCCAAATGTTAAGTGTGGCCTTAGTTGCCATGGGAGCTCATGGTCGCGTTGGAACCTGTTGAAATGCTGATGATCAGCATTTCAACAGGTTCCAACGCGTGCTAGAAGAGGCACAAGATGTCACAAGACAGCAGGCCAAAGCAGGACTACCATGGGCCAACATGTTGGTCAAAAAACATCGAACAAAACATGGAAAATCAACATTCGGCATGGGTGTAGATTTGTGCTTCCTTTTGTTGTGTTGCTGGTTTCAGATTATCAGAGGGTTGGATGTTCTTCAGATTGTCCTTCTATTTGACAAATAAAGATAAGTTGTTTCCCACGCTCAACCTCCGAATGTCAACAGAGTTCTTGTGGCAATAGCATCGCATTGAGTCTTCAAACAATCAATCTCTTTCCTCAGGAATGTATGGAAGTCCACTCTGCTTTCCTTTTGGTTTATCGAAATGTTACATGTTGTTTATTGTGTTTCCACATGTGTTCCTCAGCAATTTTGGATTACTGTAAATATTGGCTTGGCCTATGATAGCTGCAACATCAAACGCAAGAGAACCTTGCTGGCCTGAGCTTTTCATACTGTCCCTCACCTCATCTGGCATCAAAGGATTGCCAATCATCGATTCGACTTTAATTTGTGAAAGGACAACCATGGAAAACTGCATATCCTGTGATCTCCGCCCTCTGCGGCGGTCATCCTGACCACCAAGCTTACCCACATTATCTGAATTGCCACAATCGCATGTTATGTTCATCCATCATCTCGGAAGCCAATATGAACTATGATGAAGGATGTATATACATTAGCTGTCCGCTTCAGCCAACCAAACTTCGACCTCCATGGGCATCAAGCACATTCAAGCACATTCAAGCTTATGTGCGTGCTCAGTCGCCATGCGCTGCGACGCTGAAGTCGCGCGGGTTCAGCTGTAGCAAAGTGAGTAACTGTGCCCACAGCAAAGGCGTGGCATGACCAGCGGCGGAAGCGATGCCGCCGGTAATGCCATATGTGAATCTTTGCTTCAACTGTTGCGTTTGGATGCGTTTGAGGGCTAAAGATAAAACTCTGGCGGCAAGATAAAAGAATGATAGAAGAATCCCAACCCCAAACACCCAAACAGATCGGATCTCAAGTTCTCATGCTTAGTAGTTTTGGCATGTTGCCTCAGACTCACAGTCAGGGGATGTCAGGGGATTCTGTTACTTACTGGCAACATTATTACAACACTCTTATGGACTGTCCAGCGAATCGCTGTGCATTTGATGATTTTGATGACGTTGATGTTGAACACACTTGTCACAACATCCTGAGGAATCAGTTCACTGGAGATGCATCCTTCTACCCGCCCTTGCGAAAGAAGGGCCGGAGCGAGCGCAGTGTGACACTGCACCGTCTGATAGTCATGCCAGAGAATAGCATAGAGGTGCCCTGTAGCATTTCAGCATCAGTTTTGTTTGAAACCGGTGGAAGTGTGGAGGCTGATTCAGAAGGCATAGAAACTGCTCCAGATGAATTAGAAAAGAGATTGAAAGAGCATCTGCTGAATTGATCTGAATTGAACCACTTCAGTTTTTGAACTATGCGAGGTATGTATTTGCTTGATACTCTAGCATTCAGCATTTCTGGTGCACACCAAGAGAAAGTCGCCACTGTGCAACTGCATGTCCCAAACTTGACATGATTTTGCTGCAAGTTGTTGTCCTGGAGTAACCCCAAGCAAATGGTACAGTATAGTATGTTCAAGCAATATGAGCCAGAACAAGCACCAAGCAGAGAATTCATGTACCATTGCCCGCCATGTGAAAGAGAGAGAGAGAGAGAAAGAAAGATTAGCAAAGTGTATGTGCCACCCAAGGGCAAAGGGACCCTTTTGAAAGCTAACCTTGGTTCATCCAGGCATGTGTGAGTTTGTTGGTGTGCCTTTGGAAAAATGATTTGTGTTCTGCCCGCCATCGTAGGAGTTTGTTGTAGGAGTTTGCCGAGAAGAATCACATGCCAAGACCCAATCAAAGTAATTCGGTGCTCTTGACTCTTGAAGGTCTTTGGAGTTGGGTTTGGCCAGAAAGTGGGTATAGCAGTACAATCCGGTATAGTCCGGTAGAATCCGGCATACTTGGAATCGTCAACATTCTTTAACCATAAAATCGTGGATCAAGAGGGCACCTTGGCACCTCCCCTTTGCATATTGTGAGGACCTCTTGCAGATCGTCTCGGAGAACATGCCTTTCGACACTGACAACTTGGCAACAGCCATTCACAAGTTGGCCAAGTTGAGGCATCGCTTTGCTGCGGTTGTTGGATGTTGTTGGATCGACTAGCATTGAATGTCGAAATCATATAACCCAGGTGGACACAATCAACCCGACAAACATTGTCAAAGCCACAACATGCTGTGCCATCTCTACTTGGCACACACACATGGATACGTATGGCATGACTTGCCGAAACTGTTGCGTTGTTTTGTGATGTTGTGTTTGTGTGTCCATGCCCCACCAGTAGCCCAGAAGTGAAGGGGTGCTCATTGCGTGTTAGGCGAAATCAGAATGCAATGTATGAGACCATCACAGAGGCGCCATTGATTTGTTTGCTGCCTTACACTTCCTGGTAACCTCTTGTATGGGTGGATTCTTCGCAGGTTTAAGACACTTTAGTATGTTTAGTTTGGAATGAATCGAAAGTAATCCGAATTCAGAGTTTGAAATTAAGAATTTGAAGAGATTTGAAGAGTAATTCATGGAATTTCAATGAATTTCATGGATCAAATTGGATAGCCAGAAGCCGGCCGAACTTGGGCCTGGAGCCAGTGGAGCCTTAGTTGGAGGATGTTGGAGGTGGGAGATCTTCGGAGTCGATGTGACATCGGGTTTTCGGTTCAGCTGCAGGACCCTCGATGGACCATGCTGATTAGCCAGGTGGTGGAGAGTGGCACGGTGCGCTTGGCTGAAAGTTGGGTCATGTTGGGTCAGGTTTTGAAGGTCAAGGTTTACAAGATTTTACAAGTTTTTCTTGGGGAAAGGGTGTGGTTCGTTGTGAATTTCATGGGGTCAACAGAGTAAGACTTCCAAGGGAATTAATTTATATTAATTTATTGTCCATTGAAACCACCAGTGGGCAAAATCAACGAGACGGAACGAGACCGAGATGCAGTCAATTTCCAGACTTCGGCCACTTCCGCAAGGCCTTCATTTGGCCCATGCGGTTGTTAGCCTTGGTCGCTTGGGCGGTGGCTTCCCTGCGAGACCGCAGAATCACCCCCTTGCTCTTTGATATCGCAGCAAAGCGGCTGGCCATGGGCAACGTGCCGCAGGACGTGGAAGAAATGGGAAATGGAAGAACTCTTTTTTGTGATTTTGTTCAATTCACAACCTTTCCAATACTTTGCTAATCGTTGCTATATTGTTTCCGTCACAGATGTTCAGAGGACGTCCACAGAATGAGATGCGTCTTGAAATGTCAATGTGGCTGGAGGTAGGCTTTGTATGCACTGTGAGCATCTTTGAGCTGTAGACACTTTTAACAATCTTTTAACGGGTATGGTCCTTGTATGGTATGTGTTTTGTCTATAATTCAAACTGCCACTGGTTGTATGGAAAGGATGCTTTAGTACACTACAATTGCCCCGGTGCGAAGAGCCAACGCTGTATATACCGTTATACGGTAGAGAAAGTGGAGCTTCAGGCAACCTGACAGAAATTCAAATGATGCGAGCGACCCTACTGATCCTACTGTATTACTGCTTACTGATGTTATTGATATCATCACTCATCATCACCCAGTGTCATCAATCTCCAGGACTTGTCCTCATTGGCGTGGGCAGTTGCCACAGCACGAGCCAAAGATAGCGCGGCAGTGGCACTTCTGCGTCAGGCATTGATTGGACGGGTGAAAGCATCTCATAGCTGTTGCTTAAACGAAGACAGCCAGGGTGATCTAGTTTGCCTCTTGAGATTAGATGTATATTCATTACCTCGTTAGGCACGGGGTGTTCTTCTTTACAAGACACACCCAAAACCGACTGGTCGAAGAACAACCCCGCCAACTTGGTCCACTCGGCCAATTTGATTCAGGTCTCTTTGGAATCAGCAAAGACAGTGCAAAGCTTCGGCCGCTTGGAAAGCTGCAGGATTTTCACATGCTCTGACCCAAGTTATCAGGTGAATATTCAGACACCTAGGTTGCCCGGGTTCATCATGGTTTAACACAACGGAAGATTCACCTGATAGATTGGGGTTGAAGTCACAAGTCACAGCGTTCCTCCTTTCAAATCCCCTCAGACATCCTCGGACACCAGAATCGACATGAGCTGTGCTGGGTTGATATGAACTTGAAATGTCGTCGTATCAGAATCAAAGATTCTGGCTTGGACTGGACCAGATTCACGATCCCATCATTGGTGGCTTAGTACCACGTGGCTGAGGGGTCTGTGTGAAAGCAATTTATCTTACTTACTGAATTTCAAGCACAATTGTCTTGCTGTTGCTAAGTCTAAGATTGAATTGTAACAATGATCATGACCATCATCATCATCATCATCATCATCAGAAGCATCATCGTCGTCATCATCAGAATCATCAGAAGCATCATCGTCGTCATCATCAGAACATTCATCGTCGTCATCATCAGAAGCATCAGAAGCATCATCATCATCATCAGAAGCATCATCAACATCATCATCATCATCACCATCATCATCATCATCAGAAGCATCATCGTCGTCATCATCAGAATCATCAGAAGCATCATCATCATCACCATCATCAGAAGCATCAGAAGCATCATCGTCGTCATCATCAGAAGCATCATCGTCGTCATCATCAGAAGCGTCAGAAGCATCATTGTCGTCATCATCAGAAGCGTCAGAAGCATCATCGTCGTCATCGTCGTCACCATCAGAAGCATCATTGTCGTCATCATCAGAAGCGTCAGAAGCATCATCGTCGTCATCGTCGTCATCATCAGAAGCATCATCGTCGTCATCATCAGAAGCATCAGAAGCATCATCGTCGTCATCATCAGAAGCATCATCGTCATCATCAGAAGCATCATCGTCGTCACCATCAGAAGCATCATCGTCATCATCAGAAGCGTCAGAAGCATCATCATCGTCATCGTCGTCATCATCAGAAGCATCATCGTCGTCATCATCAGAAGCATCAGCATCATCATCATCATCATCACCATCATCATCATCATCAGAAGCATCATCGTCGTCATCATCAGAAGCGTCAGAAGCATCATTGTCGTCATCATCAGAAGCGTCAGAAGCATCATCATCGTCATCATCAGAAGCAGCATCATCATCATCATCATCATCATCATCATCTTCATCTTCATCATCATCATCATCATCATCACCATCATCACCATCATCATCATCAGAAGCATCATCGTCGTCATCATCAGAATCATCAGAATCATCAGAAGCATCATCGTCGTCATCATCAGAAGCATCATCGTCGTCATCATCAGAAGCATCATCGTCGTCATCATCAGAAGCATCATTGTTGTCGTCGTCGTCATCATTATCATCATCATCATCAAGTTCTTCTTTTCCGTGTATCATACGTTAATCGTCCATAATCCTCCACCTGGACCCCAACGGTTTTCCATGGTGTTGCCCTTGTTTGCGTGGCAGAGTCTACCTGAACCGACTACCCCCCCTGAAGCCGTCAGACGAAGTGGGTTCTGAAAATGTTCCATACGATATCATACGATAATATTCAATATCATTCAATATCCATAGAAGTGTCTTGTGGTCAGAATTGATTCATGCACGACTGTGAGGTGAATTGATCCATATCCTGTGTTCTGAAACTGTTCTAGTCCAGTACCATGTGTGATTACAAAGGGTTTTTTGTACGCTGTTGTACACGTACTGATTGTCACGGAATTCCGAGCACGCTCTAACCGAACCGTCCTACTAGAATCAATCCCGTATCAAGCATGTACATGTTTGATTTTTGGATGAATAATTGCGAATAATATATTATGATTATGTCATAATGGTCATAGTATGTGCAGAATTGGGAAGATATAAATCGCTGGCTCCCGAATTGACCCCTTTAAGCCTTTGGCTCCCACTGGATGGTGCCGGAGAGCCATGAGGTCCACAGGATCTGGCGATGTGCGCCTGGGCCTTTGCAAAGGCGCTGGCACCCGATGAATGTGATGAATCTGCACCATCCCTATCAAGCTTTGCTAATTGGGTCAGGCTGGCATTAAAAAAAACATATTCTAGTACACGTTATTAAGATTTATTAAGTATATTATATATTTTTAATTCTATTACATATTGTTGCATACTGTATCACAAATCATCGTTTCTTGACTGGATGAAGGTCATTCTGTCATGCGTTGTGGCAAGTGCGAACCACTAGTTCGCCGTTTTATTTGTTGCAGCAGTGCTTGATACAGTGTCTCATCACTGTCCAGAAAGAGAAACTTATGGTTTCTTCTCTGAAGGGATGACATCAAGACAGACCCCATGCTGACCAATAAGATCCAACAAGCAGTGTCCTTCGTTTCCTGTTCCTGTTCCTGGTCTTCGTCATGTCATCGTCGCTCATGGAACGTTGCAGGTTGCGATGCGCGACACACAGCTACTCCATCTCTTCGCAGATGAAGCTCTGGAAAAATACACCGAACTCAACGGACAAAACTTGATCCTCGGCTATGACCCCACCCTGGCGCCCGGTGGGTGAACCCTGCACAAAGAGCCGAGTGAGTATAGTGAGTGAGAATTAAGACGACTTACAGTGTTGAAGTTGTGTTTTCCAAGTGCGCGAAGAGAACAAGACAGCAGATAGTGAATGTCGCTACTTTAAAACGATCGTCAAAAGATTTCAAAACCCTGTTTGGCACAGTTGTCATCGTAGCCAGTGAAAGTCTTCCCCGCTGCCTAGGTCTAATCTGGTTTGGTCCCTGGCAACAATCCGAGCCTTGGCCAAACCAACGGATCTGCGACACATTGGCCGGACACATTGCTGAAAGGTTTGCCTCTGGGTAGAAGCAGCCAAGCAGCAGCAACTTCAACAGCAGTTTTCATACATGTCAAATCTAGAGTCTAGAGTTTCATTGGCTTTCATTGACTGCCCATTCTTGTGATTTCCAGTGGGGTCCGGTTTCCACAGCACCCGAGTTGCCCCGGACGCGAGGAGAACATCACGAGCCCCTGATGGACGCTGTGTCGAGGACACGGGCTGATACCATCCAAGGCCTGGCACAGCAGGAGTTCTCCAACATTGTGTGCCGCGACCGCACTGGGACCGGAAACGGTGCCCAAAACAGCACCTGGGAATTCGCTTGAGATGATGATGATGATGATGATGATGATGGTGATGATGATGATGATGATGATGATGATGCTGGTGATGATGATAATGATGATGATCATGGTGATGATCATGATGATGATCATGATGATGATGGTGGTGGTGGTGATGATGGCGATGGTGTTGGTGATGATGATGATCATCATGATGCTGATGATCATGATGATGACGATGATCATCATGATGATGATCATGATGATGATGGTGGTCATGATGATGATGATGATGATGATGATGATGATGATGATGATGATGATGATGATGATGATGGTTGTGATGATGGTGATGGTGATGATGATGATGATGATTGTGATGATTGTGATGATTGTGATGATGGTGATGGTGATGATGAAGATGATGGTGATAATGATCATGATGGTGATGATCATGATGATGATCATGATGATGATCATGATGATGCTCATGAAGATGATCATGATGATGATTATGATGATGATCATGATGATGATCATGGTGATGATAATGATGATGATCATGGTGATGATCATGATGATGATCATGATGATGATGATGATGGTGGTGGTGATGATGGTGATGGTGTTGGTGATGATGATGATGATGATGATGATGGTGGTGGTGGTGGTGGTGGTGGTGGTGCTGGCGCAAGGATCAAAATGAATGAACATACGTATTGGTTTTTATATATAGATAGATAGGAGGATGGAATGGATTCAAATGGATCAAAATTGTTCACTGAAGTTGGCCACCAGGCAACAATTTGAGATGATGCCAACGATTTTCTCACAGTCCTGCCATTAGCATTGATTACCAGCCCGCCCTGTTCCCTATTCCCTATTACTCAGGAATTTCCTTAGAGAGTCCCAGAAATTGGACGAATTCAAGTCCGCATTGTTTTGGGGTTGAGTGGCATCTCAGAAATCAAGACCCGATCGAATCAGGACACGGAGTGTTTTGGTCTCATGGTGACCTAGTGACCTAGTGGTTTCCGTGCCACCATGGAATGCTAAACCATGATAAACCATGATAAACCATGATAAGCCATGATAAACCATGATAAACCATGATAAACCATGATAAACCATGGTTCCCTTTGGTTGTTTTTTTCATCATTTCTAGTTTCAGACTTATCCAGACTCAACAAACCCCACCTAGCCGTCTCGAAGATCCAGTTTTATCCGCGCCACCCCAAAGCCAGCATTCGCCAGCTTGGTGTCACAACTTAACATGCCTCACATGCTTCACCTCGGCGCCTGGGCCTCAGGGCCTCAGTCCCAGGTGGTCCTTTGCCACACTGCTGCGAACCTCTGAGATGCTGTTCCGCCGGACAGCGCCGCGGGTGGTGGAGACGGCCAGGGACCTCGATTCGCAGCACTTGGCAAACATTGCCTGGGCGTACGTGGCTTGGTTTGAACTCAGTTGGTTGTTAGATTTGTTAGGGTTCGTTGATATTTTTGGATCAATCTTTCGCACGGACATGGAGATCTACAGAAAGCGAGACTTGGGGATCTTTGATGAAGCACGCATAAGCACACAATTTGGGCCGGGCTGATGTCGGCTGTTGCCTTGTCAATTGTCAATGTATGGGTAACACATATGCCAGGCCAGGTGTTTAGCCGCAGCAGGTTGCCGCGCAAAGCTATTTATGTTTGTCTTGATGTGTCAACACATTTCACAGACTGCCGGGTAAACAGCCGTTCCAACAGTGCTTTGTTTTTTGCAACTAAGCGTCCTACCATCATCCCAGCTGCAAAGGTTGTCAAATATGTTGGGAGGGCCATTTATTTAGGGATTTTTTTTTTTAGTTTAGGGAATTTTTTTTGGATTTCTTCCTGCTTACTCTATTGCCTCCTGCAGTGCTTCTCTGCTTCTTTGCTTCTATTCCTTTTTTTGCTTTTCTTGCTTTTCTTTGCTTTTTTGCTTTTTTGCTTCCCTTGCTTTTCTTTGCTTTTCTTTGCTTTTTTGCTTTTTTGCTTTTCTCGCTTTTCTGCTTTTCTTTGCTTTTTTGCTTTTTTGCTTTTCTTGCTTTTCTTTGCTTTTTTGCTTTTTTGCTTTCCTTGCTTTTCTTTGCTTTTTTGCTTTTCTCGCTTTTCTGCTTTTCTTTGCTTTTTTGCTTTTCTTGCTTTTCTTTGCTTTTTTGCTTTTTTGCTTTTCTTTGCTTTTTTGCTTTTCCATGAGGTGTGGAGCAACATCTTCTATCCATCTATATCCATCTATATCTATCTATATCTATCTATATCTACGTATCTATATCTATCTATGTCTATCTATATCTGTATCTATATCTACATCTATGGCTGTATCCATATATCTATATATCTATATATATCATATATCTATATATATATATATCTATATATATATCTATATATATATATCTATATATATATATCTATATATCTCTATATATATCTATATATATATCTATATATTTCTATATATCTCTATATATATCTATATCTAGATATCTATATACATATATATCTATCTATCTATATATCTATCTACCTATCTATCTATCTATCTATCTAATTATCTATCTATCTATCTATCTATCTATACTATCTATCTATCTATATATCTATATCTCTCTATATATATACTATATATCTATATATCTATATATATCTCTATATATCTATATCTCTCTCTCTCTATATATATATATTTATACCACCATATATCTATATATCTGTATATATCTATCTATATTTCTATATGTATATATACATATATCTTTATATCTATATATCTTTAAATCTATATATCTATTTATCTATATATCTATATCTATATATATATATATCTGTATATATATATATATATCTACCTAAAAGGTTTGCATTATCATGCGGATGATATTCAAACCCCAAGCCAACCCTGAACCAAACCTTATATAAATAGATCTTAAACCAACTCGATGATAACATCAAATGAAACTATTGTGCATCGTTGTGCCTTAACCTACATTCCACATGTTTCCAAGGTGCATGTCGTGTAGTATATACACCTTGAGTATCACATTCAACCTAGCACCTTGCATGTGAAAATAGGTGTTTCCAATCTGCTTTGGGGGGGAGGCGCTGCGCCCTTGTTTTTGTTTCGACCTAATACCTACATAGGTACATGCATGAGTATTGAGCACATTTATATGCGCCCTTCAAGGCTCAAGAGGTATATATAGTAACCCTGTGGACAAGCACTGACCGGCAACAGGCTGAGAGTAAAAGAGTGCTGTCATTGGGGAAGACGCCTTAGCTGATCTTGAAGTAGACGCTAGGGCCCCTCTTCAAGTGGTAGCGGAGCAGTGATCCCTCATTGAGGGTGAGCTCCAGGTAGAGCCCAAGAAATGGCAAGCCATGGCTATGATGATGATGACTTCGACATTGTCGATGCAAATGAATGGAACCAATATGACTCTTATGCAATGAGAAGAGCACCCCAGCAAACACAGATTCATATGACGCAACAGATGACCACAAAGGTTGCTCCAGCCTATGATGGGCGAACCAGCTTCTTTGCTTTTGAGGATGCAATTGATGACTGGTGTGACATTACGGAGTTAGAACCAGAGAAACGTGGTCCAGCATTGCGCAACAGACTGGAAGGAGATGCTCAACAATACAAGAGGCTATTGGATAGAGAATTACTCAGGGATCCCTATGAAGGAGTGGCTTATTTCAAAAGATTTCTACGACCTCATTTCATCAAAGGTGCCCAGAACGTGTTCTTATACCGTTTCATGCAGTTCATGAAGTTCAACAGAGGAACCATGGATCTTCAGAAGTGGATGACTAGATTTCAACTCACTGGCAATAGACTTATTGAGTCTTGGATGGATTTACTTCCAGAAGTAACAGTGACTAGTCCTGAAGCAATTCTGTTTGTTCAACAACGACGTCAAGAACATGAACGAGATCAACAAGAGAGAGCTGAAGTAGCAGCAGCCTCAGGAACACCCCATGTAGCTGTTCCTTGGACAGATGAACTGGCACTAGCGGCATTCAGACAATTTCAGGAAAATCGTAGAGAAGCACAGCGACAAGCATTCCCACTGGGTGAAAATTTGCTAGCATTGATTTTTGTAAGTCTAGCTGACCTGAGTCAAGATCAGAGAAACACACTCACAAGTATCATGACACATCGTGGACGAACCCTCGATCGATACAGTATTCAAGAACTACGTGACCTGTTTTTGGAAATGTTTTGCACTACCAAAACAGCAGTTGACAATCCATTGATGCAACCCTCTGGCATGGCACAGAGAAGATCTTTCCTCGTACTGGATGAAGGTGAATTAGAAGGAACCGACGGCTATTGGGCCGAAGATGAAGAAGACGGCGCAGAAGGATTCCTGGATGCCTTAGAAGATGTTTTCTGGGTTTATGATGACGCCAACTTCACATGGTATCAGAGAAGGTTCCAAGGCAAATACATCAGACGAGGCAAAGGTAAAGGAAAGAGAAAAGGAAAAGGAAAAGGCAGAGGAGGACGAAGGTTCTTCAAATCAAGAAAAGGAAAAGGCCGAGGAAAAGGAAGAAGAAAAGGCCGTGCTCACATGGTGAGTGAAGAAGGTTATGAAGATGAATGGCAAGAAGATGAATGGAATGAAAACTATGACGGCTATTGGGCCGATGATCAAACCTGGAATGAAGGCTATTGGGCCTATGATGATTCATACTACATGGATGAGTATGGATACTTCCAGAAGAAAGGAAAAGGAAAAGGAAAAGGAAAGAAAGGCAAGAAAGGCAAGGATGATGATGGAAAAGGAGGAAAGCCAGGAGATGGAAAAGGCAAGTCGAACTATGTTCAACCTCAGACCACATCAGCTCCTGCCATACAGAATCAACCAACTCAACAAGCTCATTATTCTTCTGCAGCTTCAAGTTCTGGTCATGGTTTCTTTTCATTTGGAACAACTGAACCAGCACGTGTTGATGTTGCAGAGACAGAGCCAGCACGTGTTGATGTTTTGACATCCACGTATGCAGCACAAGATGAACAACGACGCACTCGTCGTGGAGGACAGAACCAACGTGATGCAAGAGCACAGCAAAACAGGAGAGAAATGAAGAGATTCCCTGTTCTGGTTGGAGAAGTTGGTGCACTACGACAAGGTGTACAACAACGTCCAGCTGTAGTGCCCAGGCAAGTTGGTCTTCAAGAAGGTGAGGCTTCATGGAAGCCATTGGCAGAAGGCACATCATTGTTTTCACATGGATGCTCTACAGAGATAGAGGAACCATCACAGCAGAGTGCTTTTTCATTTCATACTGTACAAACTGATCTGGCATGTGAGAATGGACTAGCTTTTCACACAGAGAATTCTGCACCACCAACTGTGTGTATTCTGGATCTTGGATGCACAAGAGCTATGGGCTCTCGACGAGCAGTTGAAGCATTTTGCAGATATGTTGACTCACATCCCAACAGTGGACTCTGGTATGAAATTCAGCCAACAAGTTCAAGATTCTTCTTTGCAAACTCACAACAATCAAAATGTACTGAGAAGCTCGTGATATTCATGTATGATCATGGATGGAACACTCAGTTTACAGAATTCGACATTGTCGAAGAAGGTGATGTCCCATTGTTGATGTCACTTCCACAGATGAGAAACCTTGGATTTCAATTTGAACTTACTCCAGAGAAGGCTTATTTGTCCTGTGCACGTATTGGCATGAGAAAAATGGTTTTGAGGACAGCCATCAGTACTCATCTCATTCTCGACCTACAAGATGTAGCATGGTACATGAGCCAAGTTCATTTCAAGACTCCACAAGTCAAAAGTTTCTATTCACAACACGATCACTTTGAGTACAGTCAGATTGCTGTCAAACAAGATGATCATGAAGGAGAAGCTTTGGTGACTGGTGACTACTGGCAGGTTGATCCACTACGTCGTGAACTCATCAGGCACCACAAGGACAAGAGAATGAACTTACATGAGATGACTCGATCAGAGAAAACTCCAATTCCAAAAGATCAACTTCTTGATGAGAGAGAAACCCACATGGAATTCCAGAAGAGCAAGAAGAAGGTTCTTCACAAGGACAACTGGCGCACTGAGAAGAAGAGGTTTTCTGAACAGAGTGAAGAGTTCTGGAAGGGCAAGACCATCTACAAGATCAAGGAGGACTACGTGATCCCAGATGACATTGTCAGAAGTGACATTGATCGTGCAAAGCCCTTTCGTGGAAACATTGATGATCTTTTTCACCCTGAGTCAGCCTCTTCAGTGCCATCAGGTGTACAGAAGAAGAAGCCAAGCTCCTTAAAGAAGGAGGAAGGCAAACCGATTTCAAATGGACCAGGCTCGAAAAAGATTGAGGTAGGTCCACCTGCAGCCAAAAGACACGTAGGTAAGCAGAAACCTCAGGTTGTCGATGACTCTCA